GATGAAGATCTTTATTTGAATTATCCCACTAGCTCGTAAATGTAGATATGTTATTATATATATATATACTCCCCACAGATCAGGTTAATTTTATATGAAATGTATTCACCCATTTCATATAGATGAGAAAGAGCATAAGGGCATTTCCATTCTGCACACTTCCGAGGTAATACGGTTAGCATAAATTGATCACTCAAGTTAGCGGGGTAGGAATATGGCCTAAAAAGGGACTAAATACTACAATCTCACCTCACAAGTCGCAACATTTGCCAGCTGCATGCAAGCTGGTTGGTACTTTTCCCCTTTCTCATCGCCCTCCTCATCCTCAACGGTTTGTGGCACTAAGTTTTGCGCTTCCTGCTTCTCCCGCTCCAAATAGGCCCTTTCATCTTCTTCAGCTTCCCTTTCGCAGTCAGCCTGCTTTCGTATGAAGGGGAATTTTTTGTCACCCGGCCTCAACTTAAAGGAGTCCTGTTTCCCTTGGCTCTTGGCTAGATTCTTCCTCGACCTCTTTCCAGCAGTGGAAACTGTTAGCCGGTTGATGGAGCCGGAAGCCTCAGCCATAGCGACACAATTGCCGGACTGTCGGGCAGGTGGATGGATGCCCGGGTGTCCGAATGCATTATGCGATGTTCTGTATATGATGAAAAAATCACACATTGGTAATACTCACTGACGGCATCCTTATGCTCAGCATGATTTGGCACATTTATGATGGGCAACAGAGGGTACATCAAAAAGATAACTTTATGAATTTGGAAGTTTGTAATACAAAGAAGTGTCAATTTTACTTATCTAAAATCAATTCCCTATCATGAGTGATTTACCTGGATGAATATGTGGTTTAGAAATAATTGAAGCTCAAGTATAGTAAGGCGACTTGATTATCATAACTTGGGATAATGAAGACGATCGCGATGAACATCTTCGCACTATCTATTGAGCCCTTTTTCCAGATGAAATACAAAAGTGGATTCAGATAAAATAAGGATGAATTTATACAGTAATCTCGGGACTTACTAATATTACAAATACAATAATATGAGACAAAGCTGGATTTTTAAGAATTTTTTGAGGGCTTATACCAGTGAACTTCAGCAACTCCATCAGAATTCAGTCGAAATTGAAAGAAAATTAATAAAATTTAATTATTAAATTGGATTCGTGTTTGGGGAAATCTCTCAGAGAAAGGTTTCGCGTTACGAAAATGATGGTCATAGTGGAATGGACGAAAACCCAGAATGAATTAATCAGGATTTGAAGATGAGCTCAAGTCAATCAATGCAGCTCAAAGCATCTTTGGTCGTGTTCCGGCCTTCAGCTTTTAACATGAAGTGATATATCTTCCGACATGATACAAAAATGGCTGCATGGTACATTGGAGAAACAGTAAACTCACTTTTACGGATTGCTCGCAAATAGGCATTGTCTTCTATTTTCGCCAACAAAGGAGGTTTAAAGAGAGCAAAATAATTATGAATCAAAATATGGAGTGGTTAAAGGCGCTGAACCATGTCAATCTCGCCTAACACAAGTCAAGTTCTAGCTGGGGCTTCCTCAGATTGGACTGTCCTAGTCAACATCTCAAGAAAAACGCTCTCGTGTGATAACTGATACTTGAAATCGCTTGTTAATGAGTCTCAATATGAGACACATTTCGGACGCAAAAGGTTGACGCAAACCATGCTGATCATCAGACAGAGAAAAGTCAGTTTTGTCTGGTATCACCATCAAAAAAGTATACTTTATTTCACTTAACAACGAAACATTCTCTCAGGATCTCAACAGCTACAATGGAATTATGAATACACAATTAGATGTAAGTAGATTTTGAGTCTATGTGGATTAATAGTTTAGTGGACCTCAAAATCCAGAAAATTTCTCGCATCAAGGGTGGACTGCAGTTACCACCTCGCCTAAATCTCATCACCCTCCCCAATGTGGTTCGATAGCGGGTCGATGTATCGTGGCGACACTTCCCTCAGGAACTTAGCAACGAGTTCCGGTTGGTAAACAAGTAGAGGTTAAATTCTAGGCAAGCAAGGCTCCTCCTAAATCACTTTCATAGTGAGGTTTTATATTAAATAAACGTGTATTTGCCATCGCAATTAACAACGTTAATTATTCTCCGAGTAGGTTTGATCTCAAGCGATCAAGAGTAATTGAGATCTTATCAAGAGTTACTACTGCCAATATCACTTTGGCTAAGAGAACGGATAAATTAGGCAAAAGTGAATTTCGGTTAATTTTCTGAAATAGCAATGTTGTAGAGAATTTCATTTCGTATTAAAGTGCATGATGAAGGGGTTAGCAGGTTGCTATCATCAGAATACCACAGCTAATTCCTGTTGCACTGCAACCGTTTGTCTTCAACACAACGTTTAGGTTGACATGGTCGACAAGACATCCTTCTTCACTTCTGGTGAAAAATGGCTGAGATTTCGTTCGTCATACGAAAAACATTATCAAAACTGGAACTCGTTTTTGTAAGCCAATAAAAGTGACTAGCTCTGTCCGATATAATATTTAAATACTCATATTGAAAGAATATTTGGACATAAACGAACATAGAATGACCTGATTGATGCTCTTATACTGAGCTGTCTATGTGCTTTTGGTAGCATATGTATGCATAAATGATCAGAACTTAGAGTACTCACAAAAAGGACTAGCTTACGCCATGGAGTGTCGTCGAAACCCGCTTTTTATTCATGCATACTCACCATGTTTTCACCGGAGCCATAAGAGCTGCCTTGACGACTCTGAGAATCTGAATGTCCCAGTAAAATCACATGACGACAGACCAAGGGAAGCTTGTTGGCGTCTTTTGGTAAGATTTATTATTAAGTCTTTTCTTTGTAAACTTTATTTCCAAGTGAAAGGCAGGTCGTTAATAAATTATTATGATTTCGGTAAGGCCAGTATATGAATGCACTTTACTCGAATTTTCATATCAAATGAAGGCTCTAATAAAGTGGGATTTAAAAATTGCTTTGACAAGCATTGATATCATATTTGGCCGAATGTCATTTCATTCTTTTGAAGTAGACCAAATAACATCTTAAATATAAATTCATTGAATTACAAGTGCTTAGGATTCAACGGTCACTTACAGTCTTTCTACCACTTTCTTCTGGTATTACTAGCTACAATCATTTCTGGTTTTTGGATAGAACTCACCGTCGAGACACGCCCACCGCGTTGCTAGGCACAGAGCAGATGCAAGTGATTCGCGAATTGCAGCCGGCCAAAGGTATGTTCATTCCAACCATCGGCTCTGGCTGCATGTTCAGCAAGCAAAGATGACCAGTGAAACCATCCGACATGCATATCCAAATGTCGCGGGTTGACGGCGGAAGAGGAACGTTCGCATGGTCGACAAGGGCAGCACATGACATCTGATAAAGAAAGTTTTATAATGGCACTTAGATCAGCACATTTGAGAACAATATGAAGATGTAATATTTCATTGTTTCGTTTCAAGATTGGTTTTCGAGACTTTATATACAAATATTACATTACTGTAGGAAACATCGAAGATACAAAGAGTAATTGGGTCTAGGTGAACCTCCAAATAGAACACTGTCGGGGAGCATTTCATTTCGCACGAATGTGTATGATGATGAGATTAGAAGGTCGAGTGTCTTATGGAGAAAGCATGGATCTAGTCCTGACGCCAGAAAATCAAAAAGATTTCTTTGCCAGTATGGCCCTAATTACACGCAGTACCGACCATAACATGCTCGAAATAAGGCCAATATCCGCTTAAATACCGACCCAGTTACAATTGTGCTTTTTGGAATGACACATGTTTCTCGAAAATGTTTACACGGTTCAGGCTACAAGCACACCCCTCGAAACAGACCAGTTTTGTAGACGGGTGGGTCAGACGTTTGAAGCTTGACATGGGATTTAATGGTTTCATTCGTAGAGTTTTGCTTATTATAGCATTTCTGCTGCTTATCGAAATTTAGGGATCCAGCTGAAATCTACAGATCAGCAAATATAATGAATGCGAGGAATGCAGGGACGAAGTTTAGTTAGGACACCATATGTTAAAGTGATATACTTGATACGAATAGTAACTGGGTTGCGATAAATCTCTTGGGATAACAATTTTGGAGAGACTTTCATTTCCCAAGAAAGTGTATGAAGGAGAGATTCTAAGGTCGATCTCACCAAAAGACGGCGCCTGATTCTACGACCTTCAGGTCGCCGCAATTGGCATCATCAGAACTGGAACTCATTCTTGTGAAAGTCTAAAGTTAAAAACATGTTAAAAAGCACATGTGATAGACGAAAGTTCAGCTCGTTTGCATCCAAAATGAGGGAGGATGTCTAGTGGACTGTGCCAATTTTAACCTCGTATTAAAGCTAAACAGCTGCAGTACAACGTGAGTCAGCCGTCGTCTTCTAGTGAGATTTACCTCTGAATCTCTTCATCATAATCTTCCTGCTATACCAAGTTCTCCTCAACAAGGAGCCATCGCATGCACACGCAGAAGGCTCGAGTAAACCAATGAAATCCACTACCTCATGAGTCCAAGAAGAGTGTTCCCATTCATTTCTGACTGAGATCTCAATTTCGTAGAAGTCTCTTTATCCGCTCCAGTGGATAATGACGATGAAGCTACGGACTTAGAGACAATTGCTTTATGCCAACAACTCTTGTGCGAAACAAAGAATAAAACTAAATTTACTTACACTAACCAAGAGCCGACGTGTACATGTTATACTCTGAACACCATATTTTTCTTTTAAAGCATGTAAAAGTGGGTCTCGAAGAATTTCTTAGTGATATATTGTGGGGGAACTTCATTTCGAAATGAAGTTCCACCTAACAATGTTATCTCAGGAGATTCATCGAAACCAAGTTTCTCTTCGTATCTATGATATATTGTGACACGTCTTTCTATTTTAAAGGAAAACTGGTTGGAAGGAATTCGTGACATGGTCTAATCAGAAACCGAAAGAGGATTGCCGAGTAGGAAAGTCTGTTTCATCGAAATTCTGCTAAACTTTCGAAAACTTCTTCGCACAATACAGCAGCCTTCTCTACACGAGAGTGATCAGTCTGAGATGAGACCACATTACTTATTCCTTCCAACCTGTTTTTACTTAAAAATAGAAAGTCGTGTCACAACATATCACCAAGGAATTCTTCGAGACCCACTTTTCTTCATATCTTTAC